GTGGGGCTGCGTTTCGGTAGTGAGGTCTTAGATAGATGATGTGTTTATGGTGGAAAAGTTGATGTTACTATAGCAAGTGCCCTGCGAGTATTCGTGGCAACATCACACATGGGAGTACTAGGAAAATGATTAGGGGGCTGTTCCATGGGCGGTTTGTTGTGAATAGCTTGTGGCTTTAAGTCTGCAATCTCACGGATGAAGAAAGATGGGAACTGAAGAGTGTAATGGCTTTGTGGATGTAAGTGGCATTCTTCTTCTAGAAAACAAGGGTGGAGATGCGATGAGCTCTCAAGAAGATGCCAATGAGGACTCCTCTCTCCACCCGCACTAAGAGAGGAGTCCTTCATTGGCTTCTTCTTGGAGAGACTATTCGCATCTCCTGCCTTGTTTTCTAGAAAGAAGGAATGCACTTTCATAACAAAAGCATTTACCACGTCTTCAGTTCCCATCTTACTTCTACTGAGATTGCAGCTTAAGGCACAAGCGTATTTCAACAAACCGCCATGGACAGCCCCCTTAAGCAGTTCAAGTTACTCCATGTGGTGATGTTGTCTAGCCACGAATACTCGCAGGGCATTGCTATGAGTAACATCAACGTTTCCACCATAAAACATCATCTATCAAAGACTCACTACAAACGCAGCCCCACACTCTAACTTCAACAGCAGGCGTCTACACTATCCCCTGTGGGTTCTGTCCCAGGAAATAATGTATGGCGGACAGGCAGAGATCTTGCAGTCCGCTTGAATGAGCATTCGAAATGCCTCTAACAGAGACGATGTAAGGTATTCGCTGTGTCATCCACAGAGACTCACGGGACATTTGATGAACTGTGAATGAGGCACAACTCGTTCTCACAGAACCAGACCTCAGACCGCCGACCCCCCCGGTGCCTAGGAAGCTCATAATCGCCGTCACGACACCACTATAGAACGCACTACTGGATACTACGTAATTTCAAAAACATTGGCATACATCGATACTTATGCAGCACCAACCCAACAACACAGGAGTCACATGATTTCATCGTTACCGTTTCCTCATCATTAGGCAGTGGTTGTTTTGATAAGGATTGCCTGCAGCAGGGCAGTAGGCCTTTACAGTGTTCCTCCATTCTTATGTTGTGTATTCTTATGTCATTCCTCAGGTACGTGCGTCACATTCACTCTCCGGCCCGATATATATAATGTCTTTCTAACCCTCTGTATGTTAGAAGTGATCAGGTCCCAGGACCCCCCGAAAGTTTTCTAAATAAATATGTCATATTTAGTGTTTGTTACGTTGTCTTCTAAACCAATAAATGTCTTGAACTCGTATATAAGTTCCATATTTATTACCATTATTTTTGCCTGCACTTCCACTTGTAAAATTCAGTCATGTCTTCCTCCCTTGAATATGTCTTCAGAGAGTGTAGGTTTCGGGATTTCAGTCAGTCTTAGTAAGAATTATGCCTTTTACAGTAGATTAATTTGTTAGGTGCATTCGTATATACATTTATATATATTTTGTTGTCTGGAGACCAGAAGTGAGTTACTTAATCATGTAGCTCACTTCTGGTCACTTCTAATTGATTGTCGTTATTTTCATACCTTTCCTACTCATAACTAGACCAGATAACAATAGGCTATGGGGATAATACGACACAGTTATTAGAATAGCCTGTTGACCTGGTCGTAATGGAGTTGGAGCAAACAAACTTGACAGGGATATTTAAACTTATATTTTCTTTCAACAAATGTTTATATACAGTTATGTAAACTTATGTACCACTATGTTCAGGCGTGGAATGTAAGTGTACCACAGCGATGATAAAGGCAAAGAGAGAGGGAGAGACGAGAGAGAGAGAGATGAAGAGTACAGACAGACTGAGAGGACAGAGACGAGTAGAGGAGCACCTTGCTTTCAACAGGGCTAGAGGCGAAATTTCGCAAAATGCTGACTAGGAGTGAACCACGTCACTCAGCATTTGGAGGGCTCGTCTTGATTGGTCAATGAACAAGGTATGATTAATCATGGTACACGAATCGAATCGAATCGAAGACAGACGACGAGAGCTGTCGTGAGAATGGCGAAGGAAGAAGGATATGGAAGGATGGAAATAACTGGAAAAGGAATGAGAATGAGGGGAAAAGAGGAGGGGGAATCAATGGCACCAGTGGTGTGGAGAATTTTTCTCCAGGAGGGGGTATCAGCCCCTTCAGACCCTTCAGCCTTTCAGCCCTGAGTGGCCAAGCCCTCAGAAGGGGCGAGCATCTTGTTTACTGCAGAGGAGTAATTGATCACAGATGCTATGCCACGATAGTCAATTGAACCTCTGCTCCCCTTGCAGCGGTGTTTGTTGCAAAGTGTATTTTTATTAAGAGAACAGTACATCTCTTACTTAGCAGGACTATTAAGGAATAATCCTGCTCCCACTTATTACATAGTAAAAAATAGTGTACATTGTTCGGTCTTACGCTTAGACTCAGCAAGAAACAAAATCTGCTTTGCTTCATCGAGGAGGTGACAAGGATGCAAGGTACTAGGTCAGCGTTTTTTTTTTTTTTTTGTGCGAGGGCAATGTTGACGGCTTGGGGCGGTGTGTGGCGACGCTCCAGATTAACTTTGACTCTACTACGGAGTGGACACTGACGCCATGGATACCAACAAAGAACATGATCTGTCGTTAGTGTGGACAAAGTGTCTACAAACACGATAACCTAAGTAGAAAGTGTGATTCAGCTTCTCTTGTGTAACATTGTGAACAATAAAGACAAAGCATGTGGCAAATAGTTTGTACCAGTTGTGCGTTTCCTAGACAATGGAGAACGTGGACATCCAAGGGAATCACTTCAGCTTCTATCAAGTCACCGATACCTGTCGAAGGTGTTGAGAACACCATAGCTCACCATAGCTCGGGGGATTGCGCAATTCTTGAGTCACAAGGAGTTTGTAATCAACCTATAATCGGCAGTAAGGTGTGGACTTTTGAGTCCAAACAAGTAGGTATTTCGTCAGCCATCATCGAATGAAATATGCTGACATAACACCCCCTAGGGGTAATTTATACTTACAAATTGTATCTCTTGACAGCCCAATGTTGTGATGGTTTCGACAGCTTCTAGACCTCGTCTGCAGGGGCGGCTGTGTAGACGATTTGCTGTCATTTATCAGCTAAGTGTTTCCTATATTTATATATATACACATAGCTGGTAAGGCCAAAATCCTCAACAGAATTTTGAATCAAGGCAAGTGGCCCAACCACTGTGGGATATGTGGTACCAAAGTACTGGAGGCGTAGATGGAGAGGCTTGAATAATGTCGTTGCTTGGCTCTCTAGGAGAGGATGGCGAAGGCAGCGGCGGGAGCTGTGAGCGTCAGTAGACAGCAATCAGGATGAGTTATTTATTCCCTAGTGCGGTTATCAATGCTTTGAATTTAGTTTTAGAGAGTTGTATCACACCTATGGGAGCTCTGTAGAAGAGTTCGTTGGTTTGGAGTTGGTGGATTATCTGGTTGACGGTAGGGTATGGCTTTTCGTCGGTGGTGTACGTTGCAGTGCTGTCTTGGAGATGTTGGACGAGTTCTAGGAGAGTCATTGGGCTGGGGCATTGCCTCATGGTGTAGAACATGAGTCCTTTGTGTTTAGCTCATAGTGTTCCAGGTAATCGACGTGGGCGAGGTGGAGAAGGCGGTGGTGAAGATGATTATTATTATTATTATAATAATCAAAAAGAAGCGCTAAGCCACAAGGGCTATACAGCGCTGCAGTGGTGGTGAAGTTGAGGAAGGAGGTGTTGCTTCGTTGTCATCTTCAATAGACGAATAGGAAGATGATTCTGGTGGCAAGGCTTCTGATTGGTTGGATTCAGTGAGGGATGGTGGCGGTGTAGGCTTCTCATTGGTCATTGTTGGATTGACGTCACTAGTTGGTGGTGTTGATGGAGCTTCTGCAGCAGAGTTGGTGATTAAGTCTTTGGTGGATTTGAGAATTTCTTCAGAAGGTGGAGATGCTGGAAATGTAAATGATGGCATGTTATTTAATACAAATAACTCGTTGATGGTAGAGTTAAAGGTTCCAGGTACAGCCATGTTTTGCATGTGAGCGTATAGTAGACAGTAGTGAATCTTCGTTACGTCACATGTTGGAGGAGTGGTGGTGGTGGTGGTGGTGGTGATGGTGGAGGCGTGTGCTGAGTAGATGCTTGAAGTAATTTTGTAGTGTCTCCTTGCAACTTTGCAATTGCAGCATACGTTGGTGTGTTGTTGGAAGATTTTTTCTTTGCTGCATCTTGTGTTTTCTTCATAATATCCTTTCTTGTAGGACATTTTGCTGCCAGTGTATGGTGATCATTACTTTTGCAGTTTAAACATGCTGGTTGTGTTGGAGCAGCAGCGGTACAGGAACTGAAGGTGTGTCCCTCACTACCACATGTAGTGCAGAACTTCTTGTCTTTTACTTCATGGGTACCCATACCGTTAAACTCTTAGCACCTGGTTAGCTGGTTGGGAGGCATCCTATATGGGAGTGTGTACATACGCCGAATAAAGTGTAACGTACTCTTTGCATGCCACAGGGACATAAGCTTCATGCTGGAGTTAGCCTAGATACTGTGATTGGCACTATAGGATATTTAAATACATTTACCATTATGTTAAGATATTACGTGGCCAGATACACAGGTCTCCAGAACTACAAAAAAAAAATGACTGAATTCCACACACAGATTATTTACACAGCACAGGGACATATCGTGTGGATGATGCCGTATTCCCTCCCTCCATTGCCACAAGGATATAAACTCTATTACTCATCCCATATATCTCCTATTAAAAATACGACGCACTGTATCAATTAAAGGATAATTTTATGCTACAAAAATATATTTATTAGAGTGTACGAATAGCCCCACTTAGGAAGTTCGTGTGTGGCAGAGGTAAGCTATATACATGAACATAATTTGAACACTGTATTGAATTTCAAACCTTAAACTAACACAGATGTAATATTTTGTATCTAGGTACGAGGTCAGCCTCAATCCACAAGGGTCAGTGAAATCTGGCATTATTTTTAAGACGTTACTGATGATCCTGCCTGTGTGTCACATCTATGGTCACTTAATGGTCCATATATGTTTTCATTATGGTGGCACCACTATCTTCCTTCCAAAGTTCGGAGCAAGGAAATATCTTGAGACTATTCAGAAATTCAAGGTAAGTGAAGACTACTTACTGCTTAACTGTAACGAAACTTTAAATGGAATTCTGCAGAGATTTATTAATCTAGAGCGTATATTTAAGATTTCTTATAGTTCTCCATAATTTATTTTCCTTTCAGGTGACTTGCTGCCCTCTTGTTCCCCACCTTGCCAGGTACCTATTGGAAACTCCATTGTTGAAGCAGTACGACACCTCCTCTGTCTTGCTCTTCTTCTCTGGGGCTGCCCCACTGCCAGCCTCTACAACTACATCCTTCAAGAATAAGGTTTCCTAATTTTTTGTTCGTAGCCTAAGTCTTCTCAGTCTGATTCACGTGTCATATCTCAAGTATTGCACTAGTTTTATTTTTTTCTATCTCTTTTCTCTCTGCTTGCCTGAATGAATATTAGTACATGCTGCATGTTAGACACTTTAACATGATAACTTGATTATGCACCCTGTACTCATCCTGTGAGCTATAGTCAAAATGATTCCAGGGACTGGACCAGCGGCGCTAGTGGACCCATCTTGGTATACCCGAGGCTCCGACCAGTGACTCATAGATATAATAGGATTTATTGACTCATATTGACCCTCGCCATAGGTCCAGATGCTTCTACTTTCAACCTGTCTGGAGGCATGGCTTACGAACAGAAAGCAGAGAGTTTCCATTAATGGGGTCAAATCTGGGGATTAGTTTCTAGTGGCGTTCCATTTAACCTTCTAATGTTCACATTGCACTCACTCTTTTTCTGATAGGGTGTGTAGATTTTATTTTCATCAGAGACCTCATCCACCAGCAGGTATCATTGACTTCTCCTTGTTAAAACATTTCCAGTACCAACACCTCCTCTCTAGCCTCCAGATCACGGTCTCACGTCATTCTGGTCAGACTAGCAGGCCGGTTCACTGGTGCCACCCACCTCATCTTAGCCAAATGGTCTCTGAAACTGAGAAAAAACTCCAAGAGGGAAGCATCACCATCCTCACCTAGCCCATGACTTAATGATTCCAGAGTGCTTCCTTGCACGACAGTTAAAAGGAGGGAAACACCCTCATCCCAGTCCTCCTGGTACTGGGTACAACAAACATGCATCGTCCTGAGAGATTGGTATATTTATTCTTTATTTGCTCAAAACTATACGAAAATATCCTCCATTGAGAATCTTACGAAAATATCCTCCATTGAGAATCTGTAAAAAATTCAGAACCTTATTCTCAAATGGCTGTGACATGACTGTTTGGTTACATACTTTCTTAAAAAGAGTTTTCCTCATTAAATAATCTCTGTAAAATAAAGATTTGTTAAATTTGGGAACCACTTCCTCTGTAACAGCAACTGAATAGCCTTCAGGGTGTCATCACATCCCTGGACCTCAACCAGCTGCCTCAGAGTCAGGTATTCACTCCCATGCCAGCACCGAGACCCTTCCCCTCCCCCTCCCCAAAACCGGGTTTCGACTGGGCCGGTTCATCACTGCCCAGTCTCCTGCAGGTCAGACTCAATGAACAGGTTATCCAGGCCTAAACTTTCACCACAATCAGTAGAAAGATCAAGGGAAGACACAGAAGCTCTTCCCTTGTTCACCTGTTTAGTCATAGTACACAATGAAAAATTATCAGTTACAGTAGCTTGAGATTTTATCCTACATCTTTGTTAATCAGGGTCCAAACATTCCTCACTCTTGAGGAGACCAATCACATTGTTGCCTAGTAGAAGGTCAACACCTGCAAAAGGTAAATCTTCTGTAATACCTACAGGTAGGTACCCACACTGGTAAACAGACTCCACCCACAATTTGAGCAAAAGAACTCATTTCCTTTTCTAGATGTTTTAATTATTAAGGGGAACCATGATTTCAAATTTCAAATTTCCAGATAATCAACAAATAACTGTTCCTATGTACACTATTATTCTTCACATCAAGATAAAGTTAAACTGTCTGTATTCTCATCAAAGTTTTTGAGAGCTTTACGTATTTGCAGCACAGAATTCATGGAGAAAGAAACCTCGAAAATTTATGAAATAGCTAATGATCTAAAATACCCAAGAAACTAGAAATAGTTTCTACAATTCAAAAAGGGACAACCAATCTTATTCGGCTAACGCGACGGGCTGGAGTTTTGAGACTCTATGACCGCGGGTTCAATCCCGGCCGGGGGTATGGTTAATACGTTGGTTCTTTCTTACCATGAAAACTTGGTTGTTATGCCTTTTCTTCTTAATAACTTTAGTATCAAAGTTGTATTTAAAAATCTGATACTGTTGAAAAACTTTTGATAAAACATTCTCCAAAAAATACTGACGGTTGTGTCTTCAAGACTCCTTGTAAAATATGTGACAAAGTTTACTACGGTCAAACTCGTAAAAGTCATGAACAAAGATTTATTAAAACAACATAAATATAGCATAAAGAAGTGGACAAATTTCTAATGCTCTGTTTATGTGAGAGATTTTAACCATCCAATTGATTTTCAAAAGATTGAGAAAGTTGTATGTAGCAAGTCCATGGTCGAGAGGAATATAATAGAATCAAGTTTAATAAAAAAGTACTTTTGAAAATAATATGAATATTGCTTTTGGGTTATATAAATTGGATTCATTTGTAATCAGTAAAATTTGGGAAAAATTTAAGATTCATTAGACAGTTTAATTCTTGATGCTTTGGTAGAATATAAGCTATGTTCTACTTACATATCATAAAATGTTAGGTGTTGTAAGGTGACTGAGGGGTAGTTTCCTTCCTTGATTTTTTATTTTTACAGTTCCTTGATAATGTGAGAAATCACGACAACGCTTGGAATTCTACTGTTTTTCACAGTGGTGGTTCTGCTTATATTTACATATTATTAATATGCAAAACAACCACCAGAGGAGTAGAATTCTACTCCCCACGAGGTTGTTTTGCGTCCTGTATGGCTTGGTTTGTCATATTTGTATAATGTTATTAATATATTGTCTGTGCTCTACCAAGGTAGGGTGACCCGAAAAAAGAAGAAACTCTTTCATCATCATTCACTCCATCACTGTCTTCCCAGAGGTGCGCCTACACTACAGTTATAAAACTGCAACATCAACACTTCTGCTTCCGAGTGCAGGCACTAACTATATTTCCCACATCCAGGACTTAAATCCGGCTTTCCGGTTACTTTGCTCACACTCCAACAGTACGTCAAATCATAGAAACCATTTGTCTCCATTCATTCCTATCTAAGAAGCTCAAGCAGGCTTGCTGGAAGTCCAAGCCGACCCCTACCCCGCCTTCCTTCAACTACAGCTTTATATAGTCTCCACGTCATTATATTTCGTTTCATCCTCTCTAAATGTCTGAACCACCTCAACAACCCCTCCTCAGCACTCTAGATGATACATTTAGTAAACCTGCACCTCCTCCTAATTTCTAAAATATGAATTCTCTCCATTATATTCACACTGCACAATATCCTCAGACATAACATCAGTACCATATTAAAATATTTTTTCCACAGTTAGGTGAAAGGATGCAGGTTGATGATCTAAACTATCATACAATACTAGCAAACGTGAACCAGACATGAGACGTTTTCCACTACAATGAAATAAGTGACCTCCATATCAACTGCACCAGTGTTTAACGGGAAGACAACATGGCAGAAAACCTGATCAACTAAATCTCCAAGGAAATGACAGGTCTGTAGGACTTTTTTCTTCAGTGCCAAACGAGGGAAAGAATTGAGCATTTAAACATGGCTGACCGGCATCCAAACAGCCGCTACTGCCAGACGTACAACTAGCGAAGTGAAATTCTCATCTTTACTGACGTTCATCTGTTGACAGTAGCATCATATCTGTACCACCATCATATCACCTGTACCAGTGCTAACGAGAGGGAAACACAGGAGACATCGTCAAATCAACAGTACAAAACTCCAAGGTTATAGGTCGGATATCCCTCAGTGACAGTCGTGAGAAAGAAGTGAATAGTTAAACAGTCAAGGTTAATGTTTTAGTAGCTGACCTATATTCAGCTGACCAGTGTACAGTGAGAGAATCATAGCAGAAAACGCCAAATATATCTATAAACTCAAGGAAAGTCAGGTTGTAGGTGGCGTTACTCCCCTCAGTGTTTTAAAAATGGCTGAGTCAGCAAAACAGGTCAGGAGACAACAACACCACACAACCCCCGATAAATGGAACTGAGGGGGATTTGGAAGGATAAAACCAGGGAAAAGTGAGCAGTGAAGAGGGTTTTGAAGAGGAAATTTTACTAGTAATTCAGTGGTGATTGCTAATGCAGATACTAAGTGTACTAGGGACCGGAAAAGAGAAATAAATATTATTGTATATGAGTAAAAGAGCGAAGAGTGAAAATGGCAGGCATTAGGGGGGTACAGGCTGCCATAATTATATTTATATTTCTTCTTCAATTCCATGAAGAAAGTAATCAGTCATGGGGGATGGAAAAGATGAATGGAGTAACAGCGCCCTGGACAGTAAAAGCCCAACAGTTGCCATCCTACCAGAAAAGTAAATGTCCTATCGCCGCAAGGTATGGCAAACCGCATACCTAAACAAAAAACAGTGGCACACAGCTCTTATTGTAGCGCTCTTAAGTGGTGATATCCAAATTAATCCAGGACCTCAAACTATTGTGCAGAGGCAAAACAGACAGATAAATGATGGCAATAATGACGGTCTAGTAGCTAGGAATGATAACCTTAACTCCATATGTAATGCATACATAGGTCAATGTGAGACAATACAGCCATTATTATCTCAAACACTACCAAACAGGTGCATACACTGTACTAAAGTACGCATGAAAAACAGAAAAGGCACCTTATGTAAAATGTGTAAGGGGTGGGTGCATGATGGATGTATGTACAATTATAGCAACGGTGCCAGAATTCATTTTGTGTGTAACAAATGCACTTTGGCACAGTTACCCTTTAGCAGTGATGACATTGATCTACCTAATTTTAATACAAATGACCCATTGCCATATATTATGATTATGATTGTTTATGAAAACAGGCCTTCACTTTATTCATGTCAATGCAAGATCACTTCTTCCTAAATTGGCAGAGATTAGGATTCTAGCTAACAAAATTAGGGCGGCAGTTATAACCATCTCTGAATCTTGGTTGGATGATACGGTGACTGACGACGAGGTCAAAATAGATGGTTACAATATAAAACGCTTAGATAGGAACAGAAAGGGTGGTGGAGTATGTGCCTACATTAGAAATGACTTAGCTTACAACCCAAGACCTGATTTAAATAACAATAAACTGGAGATTCTATGGTTTGAAGTGCTGCTTCCTAAGACCAAACCCATCTTAGTAGGAACTAGTTACCGCCCTCCTACCCAGGACCAGTTCTTAGAAGACTTTTCCAGAGTCTTGTCCGGAGTTGAAAACAATTGCGAGACAATAATACTGGGCGACTTTAATATCTGTTTTCAGCAGCAAAATAACGGGCTATGCAAAAGGTATAAGCAAATTCTAGGATTAAATAGTTACACTCAACTAATTAATACTCCAACCCGGATCACACAGTTCTCAGCCACCCTAATTGACCACATACTTTGTAACCGCTCTGAGAACATTAGTCAGTCAGGCGTCATTACCACAGGTCTTAGTGATCATTTCATCATTTACTGCACCAGGAAAATAACTAGGGATAGGATAGGCCTACACAGGACAATAAAAATGAGGTCAACTAGAAACTACAGTAAAGAAACACTGGTAAATAGGCTACACAATTGTGACTGGACAGAGATAACAAGTTGCACGGACGTAAACGATGCCTGGGAAAAATTCAAAACAATGTTCACTACCATCCTTGATAATATTGCACCAGTTAAAGAGGTTAGGATTAAACGAAGAACTGAACCCTGGATGAATACTGAGATATTAGATAATATGAAATTCAGAGACCAGCTGCTAAAAAGATTTAAAGCAAACAGACAGGATATTGCAGCACTAAATGAATTCCAAAGGGTGAGGAACAGAGTACAGAGACTTATAAAAGGAGCAAAGGCAAAGCACTACTGCTCAAAAATTGAAGAGTATAAGCATAACCCCAGAAAGCTCTGGCAACAACTAAAACAGTTGGGGTATAGCCATAAGCCAGTAGATAGGTCTAACATAGTACTCACTATCGATAATGAGGTATGCCACGAAACATCTAAGGTGGCAAATTGCTTTAATTCCTACTACACATCTGTTGCATCAACACTAGTAAGTAAACTACCAGCTGCATCAAATACCTTTAACACAGACTCTGATAAGTTTCAAACATACTATACCAATAAAGGGGTAACCCCAAACAGTTGTCAACTAGTAAGTGTATCTCATGACTTTATTCAAAAAGAACTAAGCAGGTTAAACCCAACTAAGAGCACAGGCCCTGATAACATCCCGTCTAAGTTCCTAAAAGATGGTGCTTCTGAACTGTCAATCCCTATTGCTCACATAATAAATCTATCAATCACCACTAATACAGTACCGGAGGGGTTCAAGGAGGCCAGAGTCACTCCTATCTTCAAGAAAAATAGTAGGTCTGATGTAGCAACTATAGGCCTGTTAGTATACTCAGTATAATATCTAAAATTCTAGAGAGGGCGGTGTATTCTCAAGTAGTTAAGTACCTTAATGACAACAACATTCTCCATAGCTATCAATCGGGCTTTAGAAGATCCTACTCAACCGACACCTCCCTTATTAATCTGATGGATTACCTGAGAACTGAAATGTCAAAGGGGAACCTCATAGGCATGGTAACCTTAGACCTGCAAAAGGCCTTCGATACTGTCAACCACAATATATTATGTAATAAACTTCAAGCTATCGGTATAGGTTCTGTAGACTGGTTTAAGTCCTACCTTAGCAACAGGAGACAAATAGTCAAAATCAACAAAACAGAATCAGAACCCCTGCCGATAACATGTGGAGTTCCCCAAGGTAGTATTCTGGGTCCCTTATTATTCTTATGTTATGTCAATGATATGCCTATCAGTGTCAAGTGCAAACTCCTACTGTATGCAGATGACAGTGCTCTGTTAGTGTCAGGTAAAGACCCACAAGATATTGCTAATGTTTTTAACACTGGAACTGGAGTCCTGCAGCAAATGGTTAGTAGACAACAAAACTATCATTACACCTAGGGAAAACTGAAGCCATTCTCTTTGGCACGAAACATAAACTGAGAAGGGTAAATAATTTTAATGTTCAATGTAATGGGGAGCCCATCACTTTGGTTTCATCAGTAAAATATTTGGGAATCCCCTTTGACCCATGCATGTCAGGAGAATTGATAGGGAACAGTGTAGTAAAGAAAGCGAATGCCAAACTGAAGTTCCTGTATAGACAAGCACAGTGTCTACCTACTGAGGCTCGCAGGACCCTATGTCTAGCCCTTATACAATGCCATATGGATTACGCTTGCTCTTCTTGGTACTCTGCCTTGACAAAAAAAACTGAAAGATAGACTGCAAATCACACAGAACAAAATCGTAAGATTCATCCTGGGGTGGGGACCAAGAGAACATGTAGGCCAGGATGAATTACAGCAGTTGGATATGCTGAATGTTGAAGACAGAGTAAAACAACTGAAGCTAAATCATGTTTATAAAATTGCTCACAAACAGTGTCCAGAATATCTTGCTGTCAATTTTGTCAAGGTTGGGAACCGCAGCAATCATAGTACTAGGGAAAGAGAGCACAACTTTGTAGTACCCACAGTCAGTGGCCAGGCTTCAAACACCTTTTATTGTACAGCAATAAAGGAATGGAACAGACTACCCGCACATGTCAAAGCCAGTCATAGCGTGAACCAGTTCAAGAAGAGTGCCAAAAGGTGTCTGATGAATGTAGCTACAGAAAGGGAGGGGAATGATTTTCTATTTTTTAGCTAACATACGTGTAAATTTTACCTTATTCCTTGTAATGACCCTCGTATTGTAGATAGGCTTAATGACCTTGGTGTAGCAGATAGTCTTTTTAGTATGATAATAAGATGTTATCTTCATTGTAGAATAATAAGAAAATATTATAACCTTTATACTATAATAATAAGGTAAAAGGACCCCAATGGAAATAAGTCACTCTGTCTGACTTTTTTGGGTTATCCTAGGTTCTCTACACATATGCTGCTATGTATGATAATTCTATGTAACTGTATTTGTGTATACCTGAATAAACTTACTTACAAACAATGACTATCCAGAGAGAGCGAGAGCTATGAGCTAGCTACCTGACTCCCTCTCTTATCCGAGACATTATCAGTAACACCTAAACCATAAATAAGAGACAATACTAACAAGATATTTTAATTATCTTACTGTAATACAGTGTATCACAGTACTGATAAGATAGTTACATTAAGATGTGCTCTCAATAATATATATATATATATATATATATATATATATATATATATATATATATATATATATATATATAATATATATATTTATATATATATATATATATATAATATATATATATATATATATATATATAAAAGAATTCTAAACAAGAATTACTTCAATATTAACTGGGAATTGTATCTCTAAGTAACAGTTTTGATGATTTCTTGCACTGTAACATTATCCTTAACAGCTAACTATGTACTGCCTTCCGTGTACAGCTGAGTCGTCCTCTGGCAGAGGGTTATGGAATGACCGAGACTACTGCCGCCATCTCTTCTAACAGGTCCTCCACCATCTATCATGTTAACTCTGTTGGTCAAGTGGTACCCTATGTACAAGTCAAGGTAATCAAATTAGTCCACACGTTATTATAATAATATTTTAATTATATATATTTATGTTCTTAACAATTCGCAAACAGGCGAAATTATTTGCAAACATTGTCTCTACGTTCACAGCAGGAGTCGAACCTGCTAACTCTGTATCATAGTCCACAGTACTTTACCACTGAGCTAGACCCAAGATAAGTATGGGCGCTTAGCCGAAGCTAAGCGATGTTACCCCATACCCCCGGGCACCATACCCCCGGGCACCAAACTCGTTTTGAAAGTTATTTCATCGAATCCTGCCACATGCAGTGGACAACGAAAGAGATATGGCAGGATTCGATGAAATAACTTTCAAAACGAGCTTGGTGCCCGGGGGTATGGGGTAACATCGCTTAACTTCGGCTAAGCACCCAAACTTATCTTGTATCTAGCTCAGTGGTAAAGTACTGTGGACTCTGATACAGAGTTAGCAGGTTCGAGTCCTGCTGTAGTCGTAGAGACAATGTTACATATATATATATATAAATATATATATATATATATATATATATGTGTGTGTGTGTTTGTGCGTGCAAGACAAACCACGAGGGGTAGAAGTCTTTAGCTCAAGTACTTTCACACTGTGCAGTATTGCAAAGGCAACAACAGGAGAAGTAGGGTAAGTTTTCAGAGTATGGTAGTGAGAGTGGTAGTGTGGCACCAGCCAGTCTGTCTGAGAGGCAAGCGGGATGCCATCCACACACGAGTCCTCCCCCACACACCCCGCCTCATATGGAGTCGGTGGAGTAGGCAGATAGCATGAGGAAAAAAATACTAGAAGATAGTCAATAGCCAGCCCTAAGCTTCTAACCGCTGGAAACAGGTCATGTGACATAAAAAGTTACATTACAAAAGCGGATCATTACATACCTTCATTTACAACCTTCTAACTAATGAAATAGAGGAAAAAATCCTCCATTTTCAACCGGTGTGTCATTCGTGTGAATTCTCTTATTCAGGCCATTCTAAAAACTAATGCCATTCCTATCATTATTATCAACTATCATCCACTAATATTATTATTATCATCATCATTATAATATTATCAACAATCTAATTCATTAAACCACTAAAACATTTGCAATCGCCATGTTGCAACCACCTATGTGTACCTTGTGTACCTTGTGTACCTTGTACCACAGTACCTAGATGGCTTAGGACCTTATTAGGTCACTCTGCATTTCTGATGGGCTATCGTAGGATGATCGTGGCCCGGTGGCCTGGTGGCTAAAGCTCCCGCTTCACACACGGAGGGCCCGGGTTAGATTCCCGGTGGGTGGAAACATTTCGACACGTTTCTTTACACCTGTTGTCCTGTTCACCTAGCAGCAAATATGTACCTGGGTGTTAGTCGACTGGTGTGGGTCGCATCCTGGGGGACAAGATTAAGGACCCCAATGGAAATAAGTTAGACAGTCCTCAATGACGCACTGACTTTCTTGGGTTATCCTGGGTGGCTAACCCTCCGGTGTTAAAAATCCGAACGAAATCTTATCTTATCGCACATATGCCCCCATACCTAAGTGAGCCCACACACCAACTTCCTTACTTCAAATGTTATATCGCTCAGGTTGCAGCCTGTATTGCAGCACACTTCCTAGAGCACCTGTCGCATTACGATACCTGTATACGGCAGCAGCTGAGTAAGTTATAGCGACGGTAGACCTAACGTATTAAAATATTGACGTTCTCAACATAACAAGATTGTCGTGGGGGTTCGGAAGGAGATATGATGGTTGAAGATAAACACACTTGTGGATGGTAATGCTATATATTGTCAGACTGTGGTAAGGGAAGGGCCCAGCCTGCCTGTAGATGCCTGGTATGTCTAAACGTGGACTGAGAACGAGGTAGCGCGTCCCACTCACTCATGCCGCATCCCATGACGTCATACAGTCACTAGGCCTAATAGGGATCTTCTATATAAACACATGGATGGTACTATGATACTCAGCTAAGCTATACAACACATGTAAGGGGAGATCAGCAATTATACTGACAGCTCGGTCATGTTACGTATGTCGTCTCGACATACACTACTATGCTACAGGCTGAACAGGCAGGTGGTTCTGGGCTGATTCTATACAATAACAAAGACATATATAACTTAGAACTAATGGATGGTATCATAATGGATGTTAACATAATGAGTTTTAACGTAATGCATTACAAATAATAAGAACAAATCATGGTATAATATAGGATGGAATGGATCGATTGATCTGTATTCATGCACTCTACGGATTCTGAGGAAGAATAAATATATATACAAGGTGAAATTAACAGGAAAGGCAAATCTGGTGCACACAGATCATTACTGTTAAATTCTCAGAATACGGAGGGAACGTGAACACGAAAGAAAAAAAAAATTCTGAAAAACTGATCAGTTAATAAAAAAACACAGTTGACAATTTCATTCATCTCGGACATCTAATTATACAGACTATGTACATTTAAACCCAATTCTGCAAGGGTAAGATTTACATATGCAGAATGGTTATCATCTCTGGGAGGATCGAATTCCTCTACAATGGCTAACACATGCCTTGACTGAGGGAGATCTGAATGAGTATCTACAAAAGATACTTGTGGGTTTCTCATTACTTGTTGAGTACGCAAAGAATAGCGACAGTCGGGTTGATTATCTGGCTGAGTATTTGAGGTAGAGGGTACAGAGTCAAGAGGATTGTCAGCAACTGTCACATTAGTCTGGGTAGCAATATCATCAACATCGCATACTAACTTCATATGATCTAATTGCGATTCTTTGTACTTACCAGTACTAATTTCTCTAACCTTATACATATTGCCAGTGATATGTTCAACAACTCGATAAGGGCCAACAAACTTTTGATCGAGCTTAGGCATTGCGGATGTTTTGTTGAAATTTGTCAGCATTGCTCTCGAACCTACTTTAACTTTTGACGGCTTAGCATGGCTATTAGTTACTCTAGTAAATTCTGCTGTTGATTTATGAAGTGTTTCACGGATTCTTCTAAAGACACTTTGAGCTATGCTGGTACGAGTTGCTATGAAATCATCAGGGTTGTAATTGGGTTTCGGAGTGGAATATGACAACTCATAGGGTAAACGCTTGTCTACACCATACAATGCATAATGTGGAGTATCACCTATGGAAGCATTGTAAGCAGAATTTATGGCACATTGAACGTCTGGTATAACTTCATCCCAAGTTTCAGTATTGGGGTTGATAGTGGCTCTCAAGACATCAAGTACTTTCTTATTGGTTCGTTCAGCTAACCCATTGCTGGCAGGATGATGAGGAACAATGGTGGATTTAGAGATCTTGTACAAGGTACACAAATTTTCAAGAATCTCATTACAGAATTCACCTCCATTATCTGTTACTAAGGACTTAGGGGTGGTATGCCTGCAGATAATGCATTCTTTAAAGGCTTTAGCTACTGTCTCTGCAGTCTTATCTGCAATAGGAACTAACTCACAATATCTGGTGAAATGGTCTACCATAACACACAGATGTTTGTTGCCTTGGAGGGAACCTTTAAAATTGGTTAACAAATCAAGGGCAACTCTTTCCCATGCTTCGCTACTGGTTGGATACACCTGGATTGTATTAGGACCATTGACATTTCCTTTATGCTGCATGCAAACACTACATTTCTTAACATATTCTGAAATGTCAGTTGCCATACGTGGCCAAAAGTATTTCATTCTGGCTTGTTTCACAGAACGATCCATACAAGGGTGTGCAACACCTGGTGCATCGTGAACTAGCTGTAGAGCTACATTCACTAGTGACTGTGGAATTACTAACTGGTATACTCTTCTGCTTGGAGTATCCAACTCGGCTGTTCGATACAGTAATTCTTGGCTCATTAGAAAGTCACTAATGGGTGCTGGTGGCTTCACAGTCAGAATAAGATCTTCCTGGAGCAGGAATCGAATCATACCAGACCACAAAGGATCTGTTCTTTGGGCATTCTTTACATCCTCAGCAGTAAATGGAGGGTCTGCGGTTACTATACTAACGTGTCGCGATAAAGCATCTGCGACTACATTTGACTTGCCAGGTAGATGTTCAAAAGTGGGATTTAACTCTTGGATAGTCAAGGTCCATCTGGCTAACCTTCCAGTAGGTTGTTTGTTCTGGAATAAAGGTGTCAGAGGTGCATGGTCTGTCAAGACATGAACAGGGTACTGGTAAATAATGTCTCGGAAGTGCTTTAAAGACCATACTATCGCTAAAGCTTCTTGCTCCATTACTGTATAATTACGTTCAGCCTTCATAAGGACTCTACTAGCAAATGCAACTGTGTTGTACTTGCCATCAGTCTTCTGAGCTAGTACGGCACCTATGCCAATTGAACTAGCATCAGTTGTCAGATAGAAGGGCTTAGAAAAATCTGGGGATTTCAAAATGGGAGCAGACGTTAGCTTTTCTTATAGTGTCTGGAATGCTCTTTCTTGATGGAAGGTCCAAACGAAAGGAGCATCTTTCTTAAGTAATTCAGTTAGAGGAGCTGCTATTGAAGAAAAATTAGCAATGAAAGATCTATAGAAACCTGCTAGACCCACAAAGGATCTTACAGCATCAGCAGTTTTGGGGGATGGAAAATTTAGTACTGCCGTTACTTTACTTTGATCAGTCGTAACCCCTCTAGAAGTGACTACGTGACCAAGAAACTTAATTTCTGATCTGAAAAATTGACATTTAGACAGTTTGATCTTTAAATTAGCTTCTTCAAGCTTACCAAGTACTATATCAAGTCTTTTCAGATGTGTAGCCACGTCTTCAGACATGACGATTACGTCATCTAAGTACACCATAAATGTTTTACCTATGAGACCTCTAAGGATATTGGTCATGAGTCTAGAGAATGTGATAGGAGAGGATCGTAATCCAAAAGCCATTCGAAGGAAGTGATAATGACCTGTGGGAGTGGAGAATGTGGTTAACTCTTGGCTGTCCTCATGAAGAGGGACTTGCCAAAACC